AAAAAAAAAAGATCAAAAAAGTATAAAATTAATAGCCTTACTCAAAATATATGTTTGAGCAGCATAAATTTAGCTCATCAAAAATGCAGTAGAATCCTCAGTGGCGTAGCCACCGTAGCAAAACTGCCCTTCACCGATAGTTGCACTTTACAAAACTGTCCAATAACTAAATGATACAGAGATTATTCTGCTGTCAGATAGACATCCAAACTCGACTTTCAGCAGCACTTCAGCAGGAAATTTTTGCTGCAAAACAATTAATCAGTAAACAGGAAGTGATAAAAGATATCTGCCGAATATAAGCAAAAATACAACTGTCTCAGGAAACTTTTAGGAGTTAAGCAAAAACAAAAGTGACTAAGATTAGACTGAAGTAAGCAATTTCTTAAACTGAATAGGATGAAAAAGCCAGAAAAGCTGGCTAGCAAATTTTCTGAGAATGTGGGCCTCATCGACTATAAAAGGCAAAATCGATAAAGTGATTCTTGTCGGTTGCTTTCACACACGCTGCAAATTAACTAAAATTTCCAATGAAAATTTCTTAGTTTTGATAGCTTTGTGGTATCTTTCAGTCCTCGTCAAGCTTCAAGTTTTTATAACGTTTATCTTTTTTATTCTCCTACAGAAGAAGATCCAGTTGCTTTCAAACTTCTATGTGAAACCGCCTCGGTTGATTACACTAAAAATACACAGATGTCTTAGAGGCGTAACTACGCGTGACTGCGATGTACCGCATACGTAAGCGGCCGGATTTCAAGAAGTTTTGTGCTGTTGTTAACGAACTCAGAAAATTCAAACATATAACTACAGTAAGAAAAGTCTTTTTGATGTTAAGGTACGTAGAGTGCTGAATTTCATCGTTGTTTAAATGTGCCTTAATAGAACAAACTTTTCGTTTAGAGTAATAAGTTGTGGAGTCTCGGTCAGAAGGTCGAGTTTTAGCTTTTGTCTCCAGCCATTGTTTTTGCATTATATTCGAACTTTTGTTTGAGTTATTTCCTAGTGTTTCGCTTTTTTGACTTTTCAATTTATTCACTAACTTCAGCTGTTGCTCGGTTGTTTCTTAGGTATTTTTAGAGGGACGCTGAGGCCTACATTTTTTCTTTTTGTAGTGCTTCGTGGATGGATTTTTCTCTTGAAACTGGGACCATTTCTTAGGCATTTTTTAGGTGAAGGTTTGTGGACTTAAGTTTGGGGAGCTGTTCATGTTTTTCTTTTAATGGATGAGGATAGGATGATTTTCGGTGCTCTTTATTGTAAGTACTGCCTGAAATTCAAAACTGCGTTATTTGAGTGTTATTAATTTAGATTACATTGGCTACATTGTTCGGTCATGGCTTTTGACTGTTTTTAACGTATAAACTTTGAGTGTCATTTTCTTGCCAAATAAGTGGGTTGCTGATATAAGTTTGTGAATGACAAACAGTTCCCTAATTTAGTTTGGAGGCCAGCTACGTGGTTACGTAACACGTTCAAATCTAAATTTTAGAACCTATAACAGTTTTTTTAAGCGGGTAAAGCATGGGACGTCGTATAAGAGTACAGCGTAAGGGACGTGGAAGTGTATTCAAATCTCATAGCAAGCATCGTAAGGGACCAGCAAAGCTTCGACCAGTAGATTATTCAGAACGACATGGATACCTCAAAGGAGTAGTGAAAAATATAATACACGATCCAGGCCGTGGAGCTCCACTTGCCATTGTCCAGTTCCGTGACCCTTATAGGTATAAAACCCATAAGGTAACGATGATTGCTGCTGAAGGCATGCACACCGGTCAATTCATTTACTGTGGGAAGAAAGGTACCTGTTGGACTTTTCTTTATTCACTAACTTTGATAAGCCTCTTGTGAAACCTGTGGGTTTATGACCTTTATTTTTACCGCTGTTGACGCCATTGTAAATTGAATGCTTTTAAGCACAAGTTCAAGTGGGAAATGTATTACCATTGTCTGAATTACCGGAAGGCACAATCGTTTGTAATCTAGAAGAGAAAACAGGAGACAGGGGTCGACTGGCACGCACGTCAGGTTTTCGGTTCTTCACCTTTCAATAGTTTTTTCATCTTATTATTAATGCTTTGAGAAAATCAGCAATTAAACTATAAAAATTGTGAAGATTGACAACGTGGTCTAATTGTTAAATTTGCTGTTTTTCTCAGTTGCCAGTTTCATAGACTAGTCGGTTGGATGGAGTTTTTGACGTTGACTGTTTTTTTGTGAAAAATTGGAGGAAGATTGTCATAAAATGTTTTATTAGACTACACTTATTACGTTTTTGGTCGTTGTTTTTTTTTTCTTTATAACTATTTTTATAGGTAACTATGCCACAGTTATCGCTCACAATCCCGACACAAAGAGAACTAGGATTAGACTTCCATCGGGAGCCAAGAAAGTTTTACAGTCTTCAAATCGTGCAATGATAGGTAGGTGTACACACCTTTTATGTTGTATTATGCGGTGCTTTATCAGAAACGTGAACCGAGTGGTTTTTGCGTAGTAGCTTGATGCAGCCACGTCGCTAGCGCTTCATTTTTTTTTCGGATGTTATGCGATTTTCTCTTCCTTGTTGTAACTTTTATTATGAACAGATTTGCTGGCAAAAATTTTTCTCTTGCAGCTATAGCAAGTTTTGCAAAGGGAGGTTTTTCAAACGGTATCTGATATTGTACATTTATTCATTCACAAAAAAAAGCTTATTTATTCGCGGCTTTGTATTATTTCTCGTAGATCTCTGTATGCTCATTTTTACACGTTTTACTTAGGTGGTTTTGCGCTGCTGTGCCACTTTCTTTTGAGTCGGGAAAGGATTTTTTTGATAAAACACTTGTAATCTGCCCATATTCTGATATTTTACTTGAACATTTTTTTGTCACTGCTTCATGTTTGCTGCAAGCTAATTTTCAGTTTACATAAGTCTTTGTTGTAGGAATCGTTGCTGGAGGCGGTAGGACGGATAAGCCTTTGTTAAAAGCTGGAAGGGCATACCATAAATATAAGGCTAAGCGTAACTGCTGGCCAGTTGTGCGTGGTGTGGCCATGAATCCTGTTGAGCATCCTCACGGTGGTGGTAATCACCAGCACATTGGTCACCCGTCAACAGTCAAGAGAGGCACTAGTGCCGGACGTAAAGTTGGCCTGATTGCTGCTCGTAGAACTGGTAGGATTCGTGGTGGCAAGCCAGAAAAACATGGAAAGGAAGAAGCTGTTTAAAACACAAAAGTTATTGTTTTATTTGGTTGTACCGTATCTAAATGTTATTAAAATTGTTGTTTTGGGACTTTGGTCTGTTCACTCAAACCCTTAGGGTTCATAGCACTTTATTCAACTTTTTTTTCTAAAGTTGATGTTTTTCATGTGCAGTTTTTTGGCAGGTTGGGTATGTATTTGTAAAACGTTGTTGAATTACAATGAAGCTGAATTGCTTTTTATCGCCTTTAGGTAGTTTGGCGTTTTACATTGTGGTATAAGGGTTCTTTTTTGTTTTTATTTAGTTTTTTATTTCCAATTTAACCTACTTTTTACTTTTGGACAGCGTCCATCGTTTGGTCACATTTGCTGGTGCTATCTGTCCATCGAACAGAAGTTAAGTAAAGCAATGGTCATGTCTTTGGAGTATTGTAGTGGATTCGTTTGTAAAGTTAATAAGCGGTGAGATGCCTAATTGAGTGGGATTAAAGAAATGCTTTGTTTAGGTGGGGAAGTATAGGTGTCTTGAGCAAATATTTGTGGTCGGGGCAGGCGGGAACTGTGTTTAAAAGATGGACAGTGAGTTCCAATATGATAGCATTGAGAAGTTTGTTCAAAGGAAGAGGAAAGGTTTGGGTTTGACAGTTGTGAGGGTTGTTGGGAAGGTAGTTGTATGATTTTTTGCTGGTAGCTCTTATCATTGGAAGGTTGGGACTTGTTTTTACAGTGGGTGAATTAATGGCTACCGGTCATCTTAGGATGCATTTGTGTTTGGTAATGAAGGGCTATATTTGGGCGTGGCTGGTTTTTCGATCAAGATTTTTGCTGAGGTTTGGGTGTGTTCATGAAATTGCAGGTGCTTTTGGAAAGGTTGTTCGGGCAAAGGTGGTGAGAGTGGGTTTATAACGGGAGAAGGTGGGTGCTTCATCTCAAAATTACACGCTTATAGTTGGTCAGATTTTTTTTTTTTTGAGTTTAGGTTGACAATTGAATTATGATAGGAGTAGATGAGGAGTTCTGTGTGCTACTTGGAGATGTTGGTTCCGTCTTGAGTCCTGTATCGGATTAGAGAAGTGAAGTTGGGTGGCGTGTTAAAATAGTACTGCAGATGTACATCTTTTTATGCCATAGTTCACTTCATACTCCTAAGTTTTCTTCCACTAATGGTTTTAATTGATTGCTGTATGCAGCCAAGCAAATTAAGCAGAGAGGTATTACCACTTCTACGATGGTGAGGGTATTCTAAGCGTTTATTACAATCGTGGTGGATAATAGGGGGTGATAATTTGTTCCTTATCCGTGAGTTTAAAATGGCTTTTCATAGTTTTTTTTGGTTTTGGGATAAAAGATTGTTGAATTCGGGATTTGGAGGGATGTATGTTAAAATAGCTGCTAGAATTTCTTGCAGAAGTAGAGGATGTCTTGCGAAAGATTGGAGTTCTCTTATACTTTGAGTCGTCGTTATTTTGATGAGGCATGATGTCTTATTACGCTGGTTTCTTCATTAAGGTTGCTTTATTTTTTCTTATGTGAGGGTCAACAGAAAGCCATTACTTCCGGCTGACTTTTTGACCCTTCATTTTCAGTGTCCGCTGGACAGAAATAGAAACAGTGGTGAATTACCATTCAAAGATTTTTTTTTAAAAAACAGTTTTTCTAGTTATTTTCGGCTCATTGCATTTTCACGGAGGTAACATAATGGGGAATGAGTTTTTTTCACTGAGGAAGAAAGCTTTTCTTCTTTTGTTTGATAAATTTTGCCATAAATTTTTCTACCCCCGTCTAACATGACAATTGATGGAATTCTTTGTTAAAAGTAAAAAAATTTAAATAACCATCTGAGTCCCCAGTGAATAAGTTGCTTGCAAAAAAAAAAATTTCTGAATTTTTGATATGAATCGACCACAGCGAGTAGAAATAGCTAAGTTTTTTAGTAGTCGTTAGAATGACCTATTGGTTTTCCATCGAGAGGTAATCGTATGTATGTTCTATTTAAAAAAAGGGCAGATAGTCGATTAACGCTACTCAGTGCAGTAATTTTACTAGGATTTTTATCGACCACATCAAAAATCATAAACTCTGAGATCTTTAAAATCAAATCATAATAATATGTGATTCTCAGATTCAGTGTAGCTTTTGCATTTTCAATGTTTTGAAACACAAATACAGAATTGTTTTATTGAAACATTCAAGAAAGACGTAGAAAGTTTTGAGCCTTCCTGTTGTTTGGAGACTATAAATCACCGGTTTTCACAATGAAAAAAACCTCCAAAGAAAATGTTGTACTGCATTTTGCATTTAGTGAATGATGCAAAAAAATTTTGAATTTTTTTTTTTCTTTGGAGAGTGGGTTATAGCTAGAAAGTCGTTTAAAAGATTTAGTATCAGCACTGTAAGGTTTTTCGGTGATCTATAGTTTGGTACTATGGGATATCTTTTTCTTTCCAAAAAAAAAAAA